AGCAGCAGCAGCAGCTACCAAGCAGCAGCAGCAGCAGCAGCAGCTACCAAGCAGCAGCAGCATCAACAGCAGCTACCAAGCAGCAGCCCTCCTTTACTTCCTTCAGATCGGTGTGGCGCCCTGGTGATGTCGCCTTCTCGGACTTCTTCTTTGTCTTCTTGAGCCGTTTTTTAGCTCATGGATCTTGTCCTCCTTGTCTTGGGAGTCGTGCTCTGCCTTGTCGAGTTTCTCCTTGAACTCTTCGGCCACCTCCAATGCTGCGTCGCGACCCTTCTTCAGTTCCTCACTGATCTCGATGGTGCGCGTAAGCCGCGCTTTGTAGTGCGCAGCGGAACTTCGCTGTCATGAGGGAGTCATCCTTTTCTTGAAGCATGCAAAGCAGCAGCAAAGCAGCAGTGCTGAGGCAGTGGCTGTCTTGGTTGTGCAGCCGCAAGGGCCACAAAGCCTGCTGAGGGCTTCAAAGGGTTTGAGACGACCTTGCACAACATTAGACACCTTACTCGTGCATGTCTTCGACACTGGCTGCTTCTTTCGCAGCCAGGAGCCGATGATGGCCTGGGCCAACGCCAGAGCAGTAGCCCAATCCTTCTTCCACTCCGGTCGCTTCTGGCAGCGGTATTTCTCGGGGTTAACCACCTTCAACAGCTGCCGTAGCGTCAGGGGCAGCGCCCCGAGGAAGGCTTTCACGTCAGCCGCCTTCGGTTTGGCGACAATGGCCACCTTCTCCAGGGCCGCCCCGTCCACGCCTGGGGCCAGCGCGGCCACAACCTCGTCTTGCATTTGCAGTGCCCGCTTTTCCGCGTCTGGGCTGTCGCTTTTGAGGCCTAGCGCGGCTTCCTCCAGGCGCACGGTGCGGGCGCCCTCTGGGAACTTGTGGTGGCCCTGCAGCGCCACCAGGAGCTGTGCTCCGCGCAGGTCCGCCGCTTGAGCCAAGACACCGGGTGGACAAAAACACTTCTCATCCCATGCGCACTCCTTGCAGGACCTTGGCTGGTGGGACAAAACCGCTGCTACCCCTCCACAGGACCGAGCCTTCAGCTTGAAGGTGGAGGAGCGTTGCAGGTTCCCAAGATGACCCAACACAGGCCCAAGATGGGCCACGGGCCGCCGTAGGCCCAAGATGGGCTCAACATAGGCCCAAGAGGCCCACCACCACCACCACAACAACAACAACAACACCAGCAGCAACAACAACAACAGCACCAGCAACAACAACAACAACAACACCAGCAACAACAACAACAACAACAACAACAACAAACAACAAACAACAAACAACAAACAACAAACAACCAACAACCAACAACCAACAACAACAACAACAACAACAACAACAACAACAGCAACAACAACAACAACAACAACCACCCCTGGCCGGCTGTCGGGCGTCAGCCCTTAAATATGTATATATATCTTATAGAAGTCATCGAAGCCGCGACCGACTGATGTAATAGTATCTTGTTGAACCTTTTCCGGCTCGATCACACGGAGGGCTTTTACACCTTTCTCTGCCTGCAGCCTTATTTTTTCACCGTCTGCAGCGAAGCCGGGACGATGACCGCTCAGCGCAGCCCGGAACTTCGTCGGAGATCGCGCAACCGCGGTCGCCCAAACACAGCAGTGTCGTGGTGTAGATGTCCATCTTACCGCATCCACGTCTTACCACTTCAAGCATCCATCTTGGATTCCCTTGCAACACTTCAAGAGATTGCCTCACCTCTCCTTTTTGCAGAAGCTCCCAACAAATGCCCCCTCGTCAATGTGTCCCGATCCAAACCACACACACTTGGACCAAATGGCACTCAGCATGAAACATCAACTTATTCACCTTGAACGCAAATTTCAAGTTTCCAATCCTCACGAGTATTTTTCACCCCCAAAACACCTCAAATACAAGTATATGCAAGTTTCCACAACACCTCAAGACCTCCAATCCTCTCCAAACAGTCTTTTTCACCTCCCAAAGGGTCGTTTAGACTCTCCACGCCCCCCCACGTCCTCCACATTCACTGAGAGTCCCGACCCCAGGCAGGGGCTCGGGCGACCCCAGGCCGCGATGTCCAGAGCTTCTACGAATCACCCCATGAGCTGAAACAAGCCGCCGCGCAAGAACACGTCTACGGCTTCCTCCCATGCGCACGCAGTCCGAGTGGAAACCGTCCCTAGCGTAGTGCGGCGCGCAACTAGTTAACCCTACAAGTCCAAAGACGATTTTCGGCAGCACCCAAGTTTTCGGGAGTTCCTTTTCGGATCACCGTTCGTCAGACCGTTTTAAACATGGTCGACTGGACTTCCTTTTGCCGACCGACCGACCGGCGGCCCCTCCAACACGCGCCGACCCGCGGTCCGCGAGGTCCGGTCGCCCCCGTCGATCGCCCGGTGCGTCGGATCCGTCGTCGCGTTGGGCGGCGCGATGCGAACCTTCAGCTGCTCTTCCACCTCTTGTAGGACCGCCGCAGGCGGCTCGCCCTCCTGGATCTTCGAGGCGGAAGACTGTACAGACAGACAGAGCCCCCAGCTGGCGGGTTTCGGTTTTCGGTTTCGATCCCAAAGGACGTCAGAACTACGTGATGGTGCGGCACCCGTGCTCCTGTACAACCCCCCCTAGTAGCTGTGAGATCCTACGAACATACTGGGGTATAACACCTCTGGGATGAGAATGTGGATCTGCAAGAGCTTCTGCCGCAATGGTGCCTTGGACATGGTTCCAGCATGTCTATATACTGCACATTTCGATTCAAGAAGTTCCAACACTTCAACATCGGCATTGTTGCAGCTTCACTAGCCGCAGTTGGTTTGCACAGGATACTCTACTAGCGAATCGTAGCGAATCCCTTCCAAGGCAACTACATTCAGACCCAGAGCGGCTTTAGCTTTGCGAAGATGCAAAAGATTGTCGTCCTCACCATCTTGCCCTGTACGAGTACCATCTGCATCACCCAAAAATCAAGAATCTGCGAGGAGTGCAAGTCCTCCCATCTTCTAGCATCTATGACCATGTAGCAGTTTCAAAGAACCTCTAGGCGGCCTTTATGCAAGGGTATAATGTGGATTCTCGATCATCTTTCACCCCCCAAGCCTGACGAGGTTTTGCAATCCATGCCTGGCGGACCCTGGTTGACCCCTGAAAACAAACAGGAATAGACTACAGAAAAAATCCACCTACCAGGGGCTCCAGGTTTTCGCACAAGACAGCGAGTCTGCTTCACAGCCACTCACGACCGCTTGACCAGACCACCGTCCACCTTGAGCCACTGGCGGCCCTGAGCGAGCAACTCCATGACCGGCCGCGCCTGCTGGAGGCAGAGGGGTTGAAACCCAGCATCTGCTACAAACGAATCAAGAACTCCTGTGAATTGAATTTTCCCATGATCCACATGTATCCGGTTCTTTTGAGGTCGCTCTAACCTTGGTTGCAGGGTTTTATCTTGAAAGGCCCTTGTGCTTCCTTGTGCCAATTGATTTGAGCAGTAGCTCGCAAGTGGCACGCTCGAGGCAGGAAAGGAAGAACATGAGGAAAAGGTCAAGAAATGCAGCAAAAGAGACAGATTGGGTCTAGCAAGTCTATAATGCAAATCTAGTATGGGGAGGGGGGC